TTTGCAAGATGCTTTGGGTACGAAGTTGCGTTTGAGTTCGGCGTATCATCTACAAATAGATGGTCAGACTGAGAGGATAATTCAGTCACTTAAGGATCTTCTGAGAGCTTGTGTTTTGGAGCAAGGAGGTGCTTAGGATAGTTACTTTCCTTTGATTGAGTTTACTTATAACAATAGTTTACATTCAAGTATTGGAATGACACCGTTTGAGGATTTGTATGGACGAAGGTGTGGGACGCTTTTGTGTTGGTATGAATTTGGTGAGAGTGTTGTTGTTGGACCTGAGATAGTTCAACAAACTACAGATAAGATTAAGATGATTCGAGAAAAGATGATGATTTCTCTGAGTCGTTAGAAGAGTTATCATGATAAGAGGAGGAAGGCGCTTGAGTTTGAGAAAGATGATCATGTATTTCTAAAGGTTACTCCGGTAACTGGTGTTGCTAGAGCTTTGAAGTCACGTAAGTTAACGCCACACTTTATTGGTCCTTATTAGATTTCTGAGAAAGTAGGTGAAGTGGCATATCAGATTACTTTGCCACTGTCACTTACTAATCTCCTTAACGTGTTCCATGTGTCTCAGTTGAGGAAATACATTGCAGATCCGTCTCATGTTGTTCAATTAGATTATGTGCAAGTAAGAGATAATTTGATTGTTGAGACATCGCCTATGCGGATAGAGGATAGAGAAGTGAAGAAACTCAGAGGTAAAGAGACCGCTTTGGTAAAAATGGTTTGGGGAGGACCGTCAGATAGTAATGTGACTTGGGAGCTGGAGAGTCAAATGAAGGATTTGTATCCCGAGTTGTTCGTTTGAGGTAATTTTCAAAGACAAAAATCTTTTAAGTGGGGGAGAGTTGTAACACCTCAATTTTTAATTGCTATTATTTAATTATTTTATTAATTATTATATTATATAGTAATTGATTTAATTGTGTGATTTGGTGAATATTTGAATTATTTGAATATATGTGTTATTTGAATAATTGGAGTTATAAGTAAGAATAGTAAACAATTAGAATTGAGTTTTATGTCATAATAGAATGGGTAAGTGGAATTAGGCCCATTAATAAAATAGAGTAGTAAGAAGAGGAATTAGAATTAGTGTTGTCATAAAACAAAAACAAAGAAGAGAAGAGAAGAAGAGAAAGAGGAGAAAAGAGGAAAAGTGAATAGGCAACCCTAAAGATTCTACACTCAAGGTAAGGGTGAGAATCTATGTTATTATGGGAGTATATGATGGGTAGTAACATGTAGTAGGATTGGGTATGTGAATTTCTAGGTTTTGAATCACCCAAATTTATTTAGGGATTTGGAAATTAAGTTTTTGAAATCTAGTTTTTATGATATAAATAGGTTCCCTATGATGTATACATGTTAGAATATGTTTACTTGATGAAAATGGACATTAGAACATGTCTCTATGGTGATTTTCGTGCACAAGTCAGTAGTTGTTCGCATCCGATTTTTTTGGTTTTTGCAGAGGGCGCTTAGCGCGGGTAGGGCCGCTTAACGCGGGTGGCTGGACACAGAAAACTTATTTTATGCATGAATGAGATTGGGATCTTGTATGTTATGATTTATCCTGGATTTACATGTATTTTAATAATTTATTTGACTGGATTCAGATTGGTTTTGGAAGCGTTTTGATGAGAAATTTAACACTTGAATTGTGTATGTAGGTGTTGGAATTTGATGATTTTTGAATATAGCATGATTTGTATCTAATTTCTACATCTTATAATGATTTGTTGAGATGATTTATACTATGAGATTGTATATATGTGATTGATTGACATGAAAGATGTATGTTGTACAATGTTGTCAAGATAATTCAAAATGTGTTGAATTATGTGATGAGTTGTTGAGATTGCACATGTATATGCATCATTTGTGTCAAGGGGCAAGGTTTGATAATTTTGTGGGAACTATTGACTTGTCTCAAACCTAACGCTGAATAGGGTTTGAAAGCTTAAGGCTGAATTAGGCTTTTATTGGTGATTGATTATCTGTCTTGGAGTTGAGTTGGTACCACATGCATAATGCATTTAAGTTGCATTGAAGTCACATAGGTCGATGTGAATTGTTGCATTATCACTAATTATTTAATATTAGTGTGAATGTGGTGTTTTGATGTGAAAGATGTGAAATTGATTTAATCGTACAATTGTGGTAATTGGATATGAATTTCATTTAGAATATGAATTAATGAGCTATGTTGTATATGTGGATTGGTACATTGGATTATGTTATGCATAATACATAGTTTTATGAAGAGTAATGGATTCATATTGATGTATGTATGTTTTACATTGCTTATGATTATATATTTTCATAATGATATGAATTCTCACTCTTATGTGAGAATGATATTTTATACGACATCGCTCAGGTATCGGAGATAGTGGTGCTTCTTGTCAGGATTAGAGGATGAGCTAGATCCTTATTTATATTCTTATTCTTAGGTAGTGAGTCATTGTTCTGGTCTATGTAACACAGGAGATATTCAAACTCATGTTTTGATTTATTTTGAGAGATATCTGTTATTACTCTCTTTTATTTAGATATGTATGAGATTATGTGATGTTTGGCTTCAGTGCCTAGTACTTATGATATGATTGTCAGTATGAGATTTCAGTCATTTGTATCTTTATATTGAAATGATTATTCCGCTGCGAGATATATATTTTGTATTAGTGTATAAAACATGAATTTGAATACGTGTTATGATCATGACCAGTATACATATTTGAATTTTCTTTATTATTTTGTGAAGTCAATTGTTACGTTCTTTTTGAAATATATGCTAATTTATTCTGATTATATTATTTATGTTTATGTAGAATTAGAGGATGTTACGGGCCTCGTCCAATATCATGATGTTTGTTGTTTTCGACTCCTCTCATGACCCAACAATAAATAGAGGGAAAAAAATCATAAAAAATAGTTAATATAATATATTGTTGAATCTAGTAAAAAATAAATAGAAAGGTACTAAATTTTCATCATCTTTTTGGTTGAATGAAAAAGAAATTAAATAAATAACTAACTCGCATAAGTGTCATTTTTATGCTTGATAAGAAAAATGAAGAAAATAAGAAGATTAACACTAGTATAAGTAAAAAAAAAATAGAAAGTGAAATATTTATTTAAAGATAGTGAGTTTTCTTCACTTAAAAGAGAAACAGCTTTGACATCAATTTTCATTTCCTTCCCCTCTATTTTGTTTTCTCCATAGTAAAGCAAGAGAAAATTACATATTCATAACATTTTCATTTCCTAGAATTTTTTTTCAACCAAACATGGTGTCGATGTCACACCATTTTGAATTCAAGTGACTATTTAATTGCTATTTCTTGTCAATCATATATATTCATATTAATTATTTTATGCATAATTTATGGAGAAAAAAATCTAATGAAGAGTAAATTATTCAAGACATTTGCGACAAAAAAGGAGGCTTTTGAGATACTACTTCCAACAAAGTAGAAAAGAAAAAGAAAAAGTTTGACTTTTGTATCAGCTAGCACCTTAGTAGCTTGACTAGGTTTCTATATCCAAAAAAAAAAAAAACCTATTCAAAGATACGATTAAAATTTCTTTAACATAATTTAGAAATGTCAATTTGAATCTTTTAATGAAGGTTTTTGTAAAAATTATTTATTTGAAGTTTTGAATAGGGAGATTTTATTTTCTACAAAAACGGAGATGGAGGAAAAAATTCTTCCGATAATATTTTGGAGTAAGGATCGAAAAAATATCATTTGTCCTACGAATTCCTCGATTCTGATTATATTCTTTAATTTTTATATATAATTATATAATTTTACATTTTTTTATATAAAAAATAATTAATATATTAGGATGAAGAGTCATTAATAAATTATTACTTTGAAATGAGTGATTATCATCCAATTATATTTTGTTATGCATTATGGGATATTTATGAACATATTTTTTTAGATATTTGACAATTTTTAATTTTCTATTTTTTATATGTATTATGATATATTTAGGTTATGAGTTTTTGTATGATTATGGTAACAACATGTTCTATGTTCTGTTGGATCTTTATTATTTTAAAGTAAAAATAAATATTAACAATTGCAAATACTTTTGCATTTTTGTTTGTTATTAATTCAAATACTTTTGTATTTTTGTTTGTTATTGATGTAAGATGTGTTTTTTTTTCTCAAAGAAATTATGCAAAAAATATTATATTTTTTATAAAAAAAAAAACGAAATACTAGTGTCATAGTTTTGATTGAAAAGTATAGAAATTTTCTTAAGCCTCGATGTTCATGGATCTCCGTGGAAACCGTGAGAATTTGTGGAGATGGAGATGGGACAATTTTTCCCCGTGACGGGGATTGGGGATGGGGAAAATATTAAGGGGCGGGACAGGGAGGGGAGCGGGGAAATATCCTCAACATATTTTCTGTCCAATTGACATCCCTAAACGTGATCACGTGTAATAGTATTGTGTCGGTGTCCAACACACCGACAAGTATACTTTTTAGACATCAGACATGCTTTTGATATGAGGTGTATGTGTTTTAAAGTATAGTTTTTGTCTAAATTGTTGTGGCTCATCATTGATTCAGTTGATCTCACTGTGGATCAAAACTTGTACTACTATTATTGTTAAAAATCTCACGTCGAATAATATGACTTGAAAAAGTCTTTATAAATGTGTCAATTTTTATCTTACAAGCCGATTTTATAGGATTGATTTAGTCACAAACCACAATTCTAATATAATATGAGAGATTTGTTTAAAATTCATTAGACTATCTGTCTTATATTTCTGCTATCAGGTCACCCGCTATTTATATTTACGCTCAAGGTGTTTAGACTGGACGTGAAGGGAAATATATGGTTTAAATATATACTTATAAGTGAGGAGCAATCGTCATCTTTCAAACCGGAATTAGACTCGACCAACACTCTAAGAATTAATGAAAAAGATGGAAAGAAAATGATTATAGGAAAAGTCTTACTTGGATTAGTGCTAGTAATGAGAGCAGTTCCACCAAAATTGCAGCTATTTGGCAAAGGATTCTTATGATAATACTTATTGAATGCATAAGAAGCATGATCATGAATAGAACTCGGATTGTAACAGCTTCCACCTGGTTGAATTGCCGAACAATCAGTGCCACCATATCCACAAGCATAATCCAATGCAACTTGTAAAGCAATCAATGAAGCACTTGGGCTTGCAACACACCAACTTGAACCAGAATAGATTGGATAAGAATTCATTGTGTTAGGAGTTGTAAAAGGAAATGTGGAAGTTGGTGAAAATGTATCTGGATTTGAATTTGGATTGAGAAATGGAGGTGTTGAAATTGTTGGTATGGTAGTAATTGGAGTGGTAATATCCTTTTGGACAGTAGATTGTTGTCTTACTTCATGTCTTTGTACATTGACATGTCTTGTTTCTTCATTTTCTGTCCTACTTGAACCTGGATTTGAAATCATAATTGAATTACTGTCTGTTCTGTTTCTAAAACATGTGAAGAAAGATACAAACTATTGACAGCTAGATTTAAATTCTACCTATAGTATCAGACACGTCCGATCTAGATTGGACGATCTATATTTTAATGTAAACTTTGATGACTAAAATATCAAATTTAAAATATAGAACGTCCAATTTAATTTCAACAACCATCAATATGTTGATTACGTGAATGTATGGATTGCTTACTGACAATCCAAATTCGAAGGATTTTCATTCAAAATTTCAACTATGTGTCGCATTTATTTAAATAGTCACACATTACTTTTAAAATCAAGATTAGTTTATATGTAACATTTATATATTTCAAATCAAGAGTAATTTTTTTTAAAGAGTAAAGTTGAGAAGATTTTCACCACCTAAAGCAGATAATATCTCATAGTCGTAATGACACAAATTTAAAGTCAATCAAAACATTGATATTGAATTTGAGAACTCGAAATTCGCAATGTTGACAGAAACAAAGTAATTGGCCCTTAGACCTCTTTAATCTCTCTTGTTTTATGTGAACAGTTATCGATAGAGCATCTTATAAAATGGAAAAATAGAAACATGTAGGGTAGCCCATATCCTATATGAGTCAAAGTAGTTGGTCCCTTTGTATTTTTTCAAGAAACTGCATGTGGAAGTACTGGAGTAAAGTTGGATATGCAACTGCTCTATGAGAAACTCTAGAAAGATGATACTGAAAAAGACTTGTTCAAATTTCTATATTCTATGCCTCTATAATTGGTTGAACTTGAAGAAAACATAATTTTTTTGCAATGAGATTGCATCCAATAAGTCCAACATATACTAAGAGAATAAAGGGATTGAAATGCCAAAGCCAAACTTGTGGCTTAATAATATTCAAAACATAGTCAAAAGAGAGAAAAAATGGAAAATGATAGAAGAAAATTACCTGAACATAGGATTTGACTGAGCAAGAGAAATATTAGATAGTGATATAAGATCCTTTCCATCTTCAATGTTGATATTCTACTGGCTCTGCTGAGACACTTTCTTCACTTTCTTATCCTCTCTTACTTTTTGTTGAATGTTCAAGTTCCAGCAAAAGTATATATATATTGGTAGTGGTGAAGTGTGTGTGGGCCTAATATAGAGAAAGTAGAAATGATTTGAGAAAGCGAGGTGGAGGTGCAGAAAAAAGTGTTGGAGGGTGAAGGAGCAATAAGGTGGGGAAGAAGGTTGAGAAGAAAGTAAAGGAATGGGTTTGTGGGCCAGGTAGTCATGATTGTAAATTTGTAATCATGATATATATATATAATATATATTTTGAATATGTCAGTTACAATACATGTATCTATTACTACTGCAATTTGATTGTACTATCATTTATTTTTTTAGTTCTGAAAATAATTAACTTTAACTGATTCAATGTCGGTTGTAAAGAACGGTACAGATGATGTTGTTGCATCCCAGCTCATGTCTTATGTCACTGTTTGTTTGTTCATCGTTAGAAAATAAGTCAAACTATCTTTAACTAGTTGTAACAAAGTCATTGAATTCCCACCATAACTTACTTGATCATGTGATTGATAACAAGATTATGCCAACATTATTTTCACAACGAGACATTTTGTCTTGTTTTGTTATACATAGTGAGACAAATTAAGCAAGAGTCAGTCAAGTGAGTCCAAATTTTTGACAGCCAAAAGTTATCATTCAAGAATACTCTCTCTATATCGTTTATAATTTTTGTACACAATTGTTATAAGATTTTATATTTTTATTAAATTAGTCTTATTAATTTATTGAAAATAATATGCATAGCAATAATTATATAACACAATTGAAAAAATAATTATCATTACTACAATGAAAAGTGATAATGACATTCATTTTGAAATGGTTTTTTTCTTCTTTAAAACGATATTCATTTTAAAACAGAGGGAATAAAACCAATTGATTTGACTGTGTATTCCTATTTATCTTTATATGCTAATTATGTGAGTTATTGATGAAAAATGAAATTACTAATATTGGTTTATTTGAGTGATTGAACTAAAACTGTTTGAAATGTGAAATAAGAAATAAATTGACATCAAAAATAATAATCATACTAAGTTATAGAAATGGAAATTGACTTGACCACTATGTAAAATTTAAGCTTGAGTATTCGGGAATAGAACTCAAAGATTAAGTTAAATTATGTCAAAAGATGTAAGAACACGATGTTCATAGCTTTGTTGGTAATGACATCATAGTAAAGAAAATAACATTTTTCTAATGAGTCTAAGTTCTTCAAAAGAAGAGAAGAGAAAAGAGTAATCAAGAAGTAGAACGAAATCTTATTATTATTCAGTACACCTATATTTGAATTGGTTCACTACTATATAAAGTCAATTAGGTCTCTTAACTAGTATGAGGAATATGGTAGATGAGAACTATTTTTTTTTAAATAGTATTTTGATAGGTATGTGGTCGTCTCTTGTATTTTTTTTATGTGGTTTGAGAGTCATATTTTTCGTTTAAGTCAATAGAGAAAAGAGAATCTTTGACTTTGTGGTGATAAGTTACTTGTGATTTCTCTAACTCTTTTTTTCATGGTGGTTCATTTGTGTCGAAATCTAATTTCTTCCTCGTTTTGGTGTGGTGATTTTTTTGCTTATTACCCTCCTTTCTTGTCGTGTGGAGGTGTTTGTGAGATTTTTTTTTGGTCTTGAATTATATTGTTTTTGTTAGTTTTATTTCTTCTAAGTTGTGTTGTTTTGTGTTCTTTGTCTTTTTGAGGTCTTTAGATGTCTTTGTTGTATAATATTGAATAAAAGTTATTGGGTTGAGCTTGTGTAAAAGGTTTGGTTGTTGTTGTAAGTTTTTTGGGCTCATCTTTTGCAAAAACTCAAGTTGTTTTAAAAGGTTGTTTGGGTTGATCTTATGAAAAAGCTCAAGTTGTTTTGAAAAGTTGTTTCGGTCAATCCTGTAATGATCTCAATATTATATTTAGTAAAAATCTCAAGAGGAAACTAGAGTGGATTAAATGGTTTAGGCCGAACCAAAATAATTCTCTTGTGTGATCTTTCTATCACTTATCTATTTTAGTTTATGTTATTTATTTTATTTTTGTTGATTATTTCTCTACATCTTCCCTTCTCTATTATTTTGATGCTTTATATCTGTCGTTTATCTCGTCTAACATATATGTTTCAAAATCAAAGTTTGTATAAGTTGATTTTTAAGAACTCTGAATATCACAATTCACCTCCACCCTCAACTTTTATGTTTGGAGTCACTTGGTCAACAAGTGACTTCAACCCATGTTATCAGACTAATCGTTTTAGGAGAAAGAAATAACTTTGAAGGATTCACTAAACGAACTCACATTATTCAATAGAGAATGGTATGATTTGTAAAAAGAGAATATACGAATCTTTACCGATTTAATGAGTTTTTTTACATGTTTTTCGTTGTGATAATGCAAAAGAAATATGGGACACCCTTCAAGTTACCCATGAAGATACAAATAAGGTAAAATGATGTAGAATAAACACATTAACCACGTGAGTATGAGCTTTTCAAATTGAAACCTAAAGAAAACATTTAGGATATAAAAAAATATTGTATTCATATTCTGAATCATATGAGAACTTTGGGTAAAGTTTTTCAAAATAAAGATTTGGTTATAAAAGTTCTTAGATGCTTAAATCACAACTCGCAACCTAAAGTCATCGTGATTTATGAATCTAAAGACTTGTGCACTACTATAAATAGTACATTTTATGACGAAACTTTCACATCATCAAAAAAAAATTTGAAGTATTATGCCAAGGTGCACTATGTTTTATTTTTTTAATAAAACCGAGAGAAAACACAAATCAACACATGCTTTAAATCCCAACTATTGCAATTTATGACTTTATTTGTTTTATAAGTGAATACTAAAGGATCTATCCCTTCGATTTCCATAAAAACTGAGGGATAATATAATCAAATTTTACTATAAAAGGACTCGTTAAACAGATTTTACCATAAACTTAACTTATATGTTGTCGCCCCAAATTAGTACACATCATTCTTTGGGATAGATTACAAGACAGAAAAAATGTTCAATGTTCTTCTATTTTTGAACAAAAAAATTTTTTGCCCTTGCAACCTATCTCACATAATGGTGTTGATGTTGTATTTTTGGAACAAATATTTATTAAAGAATGTTGAAAAAGTTTCATATGATAGATTGCAAGTGCAGAAAATTATTCATGCTTCCAGGTTAAACAAAGAAGGTTGTTCAACCTTTGAAAAGATATAAACAACAAAATCTAGAATTGAAGTGATGATGATGAATATGGTTTTTTTAGATATTATGTGTAAACAATGTAATGTTTTAAAAAAATATATCATTCACCTCGGTTTTCTTCTAAAACTGAGGGGTTAACTTATTTTATGTTAACTATTCTATTTAAAATAGAAAATATGCTCAATGAATATCTACCCTACATTTTTAAAGGAACAACGCTCAAGATATTGCCAAGACATCAATCCATAACAAAATATCTACATCCACTACTATATATCTTTCTTGTGAAAGCATTTGCCTTGATAACATTTGCTCAAGATAATGAAATTTTGAAACTTAAAAAACCTGGAAAAGTTCTCAATGATGGATTGCAAGTGCAGAAAAAAAAAACATTTACAATGTTTAGAATTGATATTTCCTTACTTGGGATAGAGAACTCCTTAGAAGTTGATTGCATGCAATCTATTGAACTTTAAAATAATGAGCACAAAGTATATCCAACAAGGTCTGGATTAGAGCAAAGATGTGTTGTTCTCCAAGAATAACAGCTACTATAATAATATTGCATTTGTTGTAATAATGTAATTTAATATTCTGTGTAAACAATATAATGTAAAAAAAATAACTTATACACCTTTTACCTCGGTTTTTGAAAGAAACCGAGGTAATATATTTGGCGTGATAATTGAGGTAATTGATCATCATCCTTAAGCAAATATGTGTCGTCTATTTCATGATTATCAACGCTCAAGACACTTCCATTAGTGATCCGCGTGAAACCTAACAAACATCTATTATAAAAACATTGTGAATATCAATAGTTCTTAATGAAACATATAACATGAAAACTTTGAAGCGTAAAAAACTTGGTAAAGTTCTCGATGATGAATTGCAAGAGTAGAAAATAAATTGTGCTTAAGGTTTGTGTTCTTCAATAATCAATTTTTTTACGGTGTTTTTCAATAATCATATATTCATTCATCTAACTAACAATTTTCTTGTTTTACAATGCAAAAGGGATCTGGAATATATTACACCCATCATTTTCTCTTCTCTGATATTTCAGTGATATGAGAATCCAACATCTGATCTTCACCAACAGTGATGATGATGAATCAGATTCAAAATTTGTTATATATATTTATAGAAATATTTTGTGTAAACAATGTAATATAATGGGTAAACAATTACTCCATATGTCCTATATTATAAGAGAAATTCACTTTTTAGATTTATTGAATAATTAATGTATTTGGTCTATATATAGATCGGATACATTAATTATTCAATGAATCTAAAAAGAGAATTTCTCTTATAGTATGGGACGGAGGGAGTAACCTGTAAATATTATGTAGTTTGTAATAAATTAAAAAAATATCAATCTACCCCCAATGTTATTAATAAACTGAGAGGTTTGATGCACTAGTTTTGAAAATATTAAGAGTGCAGAAGTTGGGGTTCGAATCCACGTGCATAAGCATTTTCCCCTTGTTGTTTTAAAAACCGAGGGAAAAGTTGATACTTTTTATGACGCCTTTTGCTACCTTATTTCTTTAGCCGAGGTTAAATGTATTTCGCGTTCAAGATGAAATGTGTTTTTTGTAATAGTGGTGTTCTATAAATTTGGCTACCTTGTTTTAGAAAATTGCATAAACATGAAATGGAACTAAAAACTAGTTGAGAATGAAGAAGGCATCAAAAAGAAGAAGAAAAAAAGTCTCTTATTGA